TGGTCATACAGTATTGTACTAACTACCTTGCTTGTTATATATATATATAGCCATTCAACCTATTATCAATGGCTGTGGAGCTCAAGCAGATTTGTATTCCGTTCAAAGCACTTAATAGTTTTACCTTTATCACATGTTTCAGACAAAGAATTAAGAAAACATGCTTTGTTTGAGGAAGATAAAATCGTTGCCACTTCTTTTGCGAAGTTTTCCAATGTGAGCTCTTTCATATTTTCAATCTTTAATAACTCTATCCAAAAACTGTGCCAACGTTCTATCTCGCAAAATTTTCCAAACTAAAAATCACAAAATATTGCATCTTTTTGCTTTTCGTCTGGCATCTTTAATCGTAGGATCGTAAACCAATAGCAGTAAAAACATGCTGATAAAACTGCCGCTGGATAACGTTTTCCATCTTGTGAAATTATAAACAAACCAGATACATAATTATTAGAAATCTTTCTAAAATTCGTTAATTTAGATGCTGGAATGTTTGAAAGACGTTGAACTTACTTGGAATTCAATGGAAATTGTTACATCTGCTGCAAATGACGCAGCAAACCTCTGAGGTAAAGAAAAAAAAACTCAGTTAAACGAGTGACGTGTCTTAGTCGAAAACGATAGACCGTCCTTGTATTTATTTGAAACGCAATGCTTGTGTTGATTAACTTGTAAATATTTTTAATTGTGTATACATTTTATATGTTAATAATAAAAATTCTGAAGAGTTTAGCTATGCATCTATTCCAGTAGACTAAAAGGAATGAACTTCGAATGGAAGAACGACAGCTTCCAGGACAGTCGTTTGGAAGTGAATTTATCAGTTATCCTTTAAGCACGTTAAAAGTTGATAAAATTTAACAGAAATGTTTAGAGCTGGTGGAGAGCAGATTATCCTGATCTAAAACATCTCTTGCTTTACGATATTCTCTCATGAGGGTTAAAAAGCTGTTAATGTAGTCCATACCTAGTAACATATTCAGATTTCTTGATAGTATTGAATTAGCAGAAGGTAATATAAACATGATACAGACAATTCAAAAGATTGTCGATCATATCAACAATGTTTAGAACATTTAATGAACAACGAATAACTTTTTGCTATTTTAAGAGAATTTAAATGAGTTTGAAATAGAGAAATGAAAACTAATATTATATTAATATTGTTATAGCATAATTTTTATAAGAATTATTGGGATCTACAATTAGTACTCTCACATAAAAGGAACTTGTGTGGATTTATTTAATATGCTTAACAGTTAATTTTATTTTGAAGCAATCCTCCCTATCGCTGTTGCTTTCAAACCACGCTTTTTTTGCCATTATGATATTTCAGTTTCGCGCGTTATCCAAAGTAGGGTAGAAAGATACTGATTGTCTCGATATTTAAGCTTGCTATTTTACGGCCGTGCATATTAATTGCCTATTTATCTATGTGGGTAGTAGGGCTAAAAGCCAGCTCACGTTAGTCACCTTTGTGCAGCTTCGGTTGATTATTTAACTTAGTTTTAATTTTATATTTCTATTCTGAGTTATAGCCAAACATATTGGCGTAGTTTTGTAAGCACCAGGATTGCCGACTGTAAGTTCTTTCTAGAGTTGAATAAAAGGATCTTTTCACCATTCGTAAGCCTTGTTATTGATACAGTTTGAAATGAGATACAGTTCACGTAAAGATCTAGCCAACAAAGTAATTTAGCTAGAATCTTACAAACTAATGTATTAAAGTTAGCAGAGGAATATTGTTGCTACGTCTGCTATTATGCGTTATTAGCCATATTATTATCTGAAACTGGTGTTAGGTTAGCAACCTTAGATTGCTGATTTACCACTATAAAAACATAAATAAATAGATATAGGCTATCTCTGTTTATTTATGTTTATGATCGCTGCAAAATATTGAAACACTGGAACTAAAAGTATAAGTATACCAAATTTTAATTTTACATGGTAGAGAGGTTTCTGAAAATCATGCGAAAACTATTCGCATAAAAAGTGTAATGAAGCATATAAGGGATTGGATTTTCATATTCATTTGATGATAGTAGAGACATTAGGTTATTTCGAAGCTGGAGTCATGAAAAATGAGCAATGCCTTCGCCGGGAATCGAACCACGGACTTCTCGAATACGCGCCGAACGGGCTGACCACTGCACGACCAAGGCATGCTAAGAAGGCGGGAGAAATACCTTATATACTCCCCCTTTTAAAGGGCGACTGGGATTAGTGGACGCAATCGCCAAATCCTAGCGGTGAAGAATCATCATTCAAAAAAAAAAAAAAAACCAGTTTGGAGCCTGGTGGGGGGGGGGGGGGGGGGGGGGGGGGGTTGGGGGGGGGGGGGGGGGGGGGGGGGGGGGGGGGGGGGGGGGGGGGGGGGGGGGGGGGGGGGGGGGGGGGGGGGTGGGGGGGGGGGGGGCTGGGGGGGGGGGGGGGGGGGGGGGGGGGGGGGGGGGGGGGGGGGGGGGGGGGGGGGGGGGGGGGGGGGGGTTCACCCACCTTTTCGTTGGGGGGGGGAGCCACTGAAGAGACATTAGGTTATTTCGAAGCTGGAGTCATGAAAAATGAGCAATGCCCTCACCGGGACTCGAACCACGGACTTCTTGAATACGCGCCGAGCGTGCTGACCATTACACGATAAAGACATGCTAAGAAGGTTGGAGAAATAATACCTTATACACTCAATGGCTGTTTACCTATGGGAAGGGATGAATTCGTAGATGTCTTTCTAAAGGAAGCTGGCTCCTATTTACATTATTCATGGGAAGAATGATGAAAGCACACGTGTTCCCGGACTCCAAACGGGTTAAATTAGCTAAAATTTTTTCTTATATGCTCTTTCAGTGGGAGAATCTAGCGTATAAAGAAATTAAAGACTAGCTCCAGATGGAAAACTCCATGAAAATCGTTAATGAATCATATCAAAACGTTAAATTTCATTTTTATGAATTATTATTATTATTTTACGAAGTTATAGTTTACTTGGTTTCTCTATTTGTTTGGATCAAATCTTAAAACCAGTTTTTGTATCTTTTCAAGTACCAATAATGGCAGTACACTACTCCAAAAAAATGTTTCAAGACTCGAAGCAAGTTTTTTTATTATTTAATGTGGGTATTTTCTCTCATACCCTTTTTTTAAGTATTGTAGAATTTCCATTTCCGTACCATTAGATAGACCGGAAAATATTATTTCAAATAAAGAGTTTTGGGTACTTCTAAAGTAATTTGCCAGATTTGGGTGATTTTTTAAAAAATCGTTCAATTTTCTTATTATCGCGTTGTTGTTAACAGTGATGGATTTCTAAATTGAATGAATTGATCCTTCGTTTTTATAAGTGTATAATTTTATGCGATGGGTATTTAAATTACACGGAAATTTAAATAGAAGCGGGTATTTAAATTACACGGAAATTTAAATAGAAGCAGGTATTTAAATTGACTATTAACTATTTTAACAGATGCGATGTTGGAACAGATTGCCTCGCTTTAAAACATTACCAAGAATTTTATTGCAATTCGACATTTTTGATTAATAAAACGTTTTCTCAAAGAGGTCTGCAGTTAATGTTTACTCATTAAATTTTATTTGAAATAAAATAGAGCTACGTATATAACGCAGTTTGAAAAGAAAGAGTTTTCATAATAAAATTAAAGGTTCTGAAATTAAAATTAAATTTTTCATTTTGAATATACATACATACATACACAAAGTGATTAAAAAATATCTGGCAAAAAAGTAAAGCAAATTGAGGGGACCAGAAAAAAGCAGATTTTGTTATGGAATATGTGTGCTGAAACAGTGCTTTGAGGAGATACAAGGCCGTTGCTGAACAATATGTAAACGCGTTTCGTTGGCGTAAATCATCATTACCCTTGCAGATTTAGAGCAATATGCATCCCTACACCAACGCGAAATTCAGCTATATATATTTTTTATCTACTGACTTTAGGCTGAAACGGAGCAGCTATTTAAAGAAGGTATAGAGAAAGATTTCCAAGTATCTCCTCCTTCGCGAAGTTACTCCATTAGATAAAAATGTCTATCGGCAAGCTCCACGATCATGCAGCGATGCGTACCACTTGAAATCAGCACGGGGAATAATAATTTAAGTGCTTTAGCAGTGCTTTCACTCACTGCTCAAACTTGTGACAAAAGCTACCAGAAAAGTATGAGTTTCCTGAAAACCGGTATCAAAGGAGGGAGGTTTAACTTGTGAGGTTCGAGTTCCGTGAACGGGCTGGCTGCATGGGCGTTTTCGTGGTTTACCCCATGTGTAACGTGTATATTAGCCAGTTTTCCCTACAAAGTCCTCCACGAAGGCTTCCCTCCCCTTGGGCAGATAGCCTTCGAGGCTTTGCCGTAATCACGCAAACCAAAACCAACCAATATTGAGGGGAAGTCACAAGTACAAATCCATTACCTTTCTTAAAATTTTACTGCAAGCGTGCTAATTGTGTGACAATTTACAATTATTTGCTGTTGCATTAATTTTTGATCAATACTGAGCATTCTAGAAGTAACTGTGTTCTGTGTCGTTCGGCCCTTCACTCAGGAAGATCTTAATTTATCCTATAATTATTTAAGTTTTCCAGGGCCTAAATAACAGAATGACAGAAGTAATTTTAGAGCAAAATTGTAAATTCAAAAGTATCCTAAAGTCTTTTTCCCTTACGTAAAACTGTCAATCTATCTCATATTTTAATCGTTTCTTTCTTGCGCTCTCTTTAGGTATCTCTAATGAAAGACACGGTTGCCTAATAGCTTGGGAGAATCATAGTATATAAGCAAATACTTAACTGTCTCTATTATTCTGTATTATTATTCTACAATAGAAAAGGTTTTGTAAAGAAAACAAAATATATCAGTGTACAGTAATAAAATGAATGAAAAATATGACAGAATATAGATTTTTGATATCATATGCTGCAAATAATTTTCCAAAGGCTTGTATAGAGTGAAAAGTGGTTTTAAGCTAAGTATATGAAATACGCACTATATCAAGGACTATATATTTATTTGAATATTAAATACAAAAGCACTACAGAATTTTATAACGTACAGGCATTACAGAATTTTATATGGACTCTCTAAATTAAAATACAATTGACAAGCTTATACATATAAGGAAAATATATCTGTGAAAAGTTTAATATTCCTTTACTAAAAAATGTAAATTTTGAACAAAATATATTTTCTGCACTCATAGCATAATGTACCTTTACACTTTAGTTTCATTCATCTATGGAATTGTTATCTAATTAATTTTAAACAAAATGTCCCTGAAATATATAATCAGTATTACAAAGTATCATAGCTTTACAATGAATTATAGCATTTTTTTAAAAACAAAGCTCTAGAACAGCATTTTTAATTATCTCTTCATGTTACAGTTTTATAACCTAAAATATTTTATCAGATACTGATACGGATAATAGTTTTGTGTCCATATAAAGAATTATATACGCACTACAAAGGTGTACATAAGACATGTCTTATGAAAAAACTATGCATTTCCAGGAAAATGTGTTTCTTTCAAATATACTTATACATTATCTTCGTAAATATTTCTTGAGAATATTTTTAACATAAATGTAAACTGTTTAATAAATTTAGTAAATAACACATTTAGTAAATAACAAGAGTTCTATTTATTTATCATCTGAATTATAAGTATTGCTTTAAATAGTTTTTATGTAACAAAGTTATCTATTTTTCATATTTTGAAATGTGATGCAGAAAAAAAAAACTGGAAATAGAGTTCCAATTAGACATCCAAATGCTCTCAAAAAAGTGTCTAGGAAAAGGACAGCTAAAATTTTCCATATTTTTAAGAGTTTTCTCGTTCTTCCAGGCACATAGAGAAAGGGAATGATTATTTTCAAGAACTTAACTCTTTACACTCCAAAATTTCAAAATGTAATTCATGTTTCAGCCCCTTTGTTTAGTCAGATGAAATGTATTTCATTACTGCATTTTACAGTATGCTACATCTTTTATTGTGCTCTTTTTTTGTTTTAAAAAATGCTTTATTCTTTTGAAAGGAATGGAGAAAGTAGTAGGTCTGCCATAATCAAATATTTCATCACTAATCAAATAGTTTATTAATTGATTTATTGATTGTTAAACCTGTGCCTGTTAGCTCCGGAAATCGATAGAGTTTTACTTAATATCTACAACTAAACTGAGGTTGCCATTGTACTTGTACCTAAATTTAAATTTTACATTGACGTGTTTTTCTTCCAATTTAACTCCTGAAAGCTTCGAGAAAGTCTTAAGCTTCGAAAACTGCTTTTACAAGAACTTCCCAAATATCATCATAAAATCCCTAGATGAAGCCAGATTGACGAGAAAATCGTCACCAGACGCGAAAGGAGAATTTTTTTCCGATATATGTCCTTACAAACATACTAAGTAACCACATGCTCGGTTAAACAAAAACACAAGCAAAAATACACTCAATTAATAAACAAATATTTTAAAATACAAAAATACAAAAAAGCAAAAGCAGAATAAAATAAACACAAAGATTTGAATACATTTACAGCATTACATGAAAATATATAACATAGCATTAATTCATTTGCATATTTCGTTGAATTTTAGCTGTTATTATAAACAGACTAAGTAACTGCATACTTGATTTAAAAGCACAAGCAAAATGCACTCAATTTATAAAAAAATAAAAACAAATATTTAAAAATACAAAATTGCATAAAAGCAAAAGCAGAATACAAATAAAAATAAACACAAATATTTGAACACAATTTACAACATTACATGAAAATATATGCATTAATGGATGCGAGAAGGCAATTTTGATAAATGCAAAAGATTAAATTTTGAAGATGTATTTATCGACAGACTTTTGAAATACACAAACGAAGGAGAAAGTTTAATAAATTAGATTGCCAAGAATCAATCGAAAAAGTTATAAGGTATTTTACGTTAATTAACTAATTATTGTGATTTGTGATGCCAAAAAGAATGACGTGAAATGCTTTGCAAAACTAAACAAGTCTTCTAATGAAAAACGAATTGATATTAGCTGACAGTGTTAAAAATTATACAGTAGAGCGCCTTTGCAGTTGAAGAAAAATATAAAAGAATATTCCCAGAAGGAAACCTAAGTATAACTTGATTAAAAAAAAAAGTCTGCTAGAATGCTACGATAAATCAGAAGGCTTGCCAATGATGGAAAGGGAAAAATTCGATACATTCTTTTTTTTGGTGCAAATAATATTACGAGTTGGCTACGTGCCTATACTGAAGTTAGCTTGTGCTTTGTAGAACGCGAATTCTATAAGATTATGTAAATAAGATTTTTTTTTTTGAAAAAAAATTATTTATCAGTATTTTTCACAATAATCTACATAGAAATACTCGTCTTGTAATATCTTAACATTATACCTTTTCCTGAATAATATTTTTGTTATGCAAAAATGCAAAAATTTTATCTTTTAACTTGTGTAATGCCCCTGAATATGATTCCCGATTACTGGATTCGGCCAATTTTTGTCGTACAGGAGTGAAACTTTTTGTGCTTTATGTTTTATAATGAGTATACAATTTTCCTAAACATAAGTTTAGGGGCATGGATGCATTTTGTAATTTTTAAAAGGTTTACTTCTTTAAATTTAAAAATGCCATAACATGAATATATGCGTTACTTAAAAGCCTTTTGACAGCGGAAGTGTATGTCTGAGACCAACGGTTGCGAAAATGAAGGATGGGTAAAGACTTTTGTAGGCACACACAAGAAATTGCATTACCTTTAATCTTGCATTATATTTAATCAGTCTTTAAGATTTAAAAGTTTTATTATTGGTGGAGGTAAGGGGAGGCGCTCCACGTTCATAAAATTCTTCCTAATGGCAATTTCGGACATATTCTGTAAAGTTAAACACTGCATGGATTTATGAATTATAAAGCTTATCAAAGCATTTCTTTCGTCATTGTTGTCACTAGTGTAGTTCTTCCAAATGTGTGCTCGCGGATTAGCTCCGCAATTTATCAATAATTCTACAAGGATTTTATTTCCATTCATAAAAGCCTTAAATAAAGGTGTAAATTTTCTGTAATCTAGACAGTTGACCTCGCTTTTGCTAGCAATTAATTTTTTAACTAGACGTTCATCTTGTGTATTGACTGCTGCATGCAGAGCAGTTTCATTCATGTGATTAGCCGCATTGACATTAATTCCACGATTTATTAAAGTGGAACATAAATTCAAAAATTCTGCTTCTTCTTTTTCTGTTCTTACTGCCTGACCACGTTTTTCAATAGCAGTCAGAAGTGCTGTGTTTCCTTTGGAATTTTTGTGATTAATCTGTGAAAGAAAACGGACTTTATTACTTCATATACATTAAAGTACTTTGATATAATAATAAGAATACTAAAAGCAACCCACATATTTGATAAACCATCCACTCATATAAATAGTTTGGGAATAATTTCTATCCTTCATCTTCAGAAAAGCTTAAATAAGAGAAGTCTTTACAAATGCAAATATTTCAAAATTCTCCAAAAATGCTATTTATTCAATTAAATAAAATATTAACAGAAATTAAAATACACATGATCCTCTATAAGAAATTCATTTTCTTGGTTATTTAAAATAAAGTGCGTTTATTTAATGAAACGTTTTTGAAAAATTGATGAAAATATATCGTTACTGGAGTTTTCCTGTTTTCATCGAAACCCAGTCTGGACAATTCTGTTATTTCGTAAGCCTCAGCATATAAAATTTTATTTAGGATGTGCTTCCTGAATTTTCCAGTGGAACTGGTTTTCGGAAATTACGTGATAATTGTTTCGAAAATTGCAGAGGAAAACTCCTGGATATTCAAAAGTTATGAAATAATATGAAGTAAACTGTGTAGCGAAGATGGTTAGATAAGTCAAGATAGACTAAATTAAAAAAAATACTAGCAATGGTGTGTAAATAGAAATCTCTCCTGTTTGAAATTTAAAATTAAACAAAATTCGACTTTAGATTTACTTATATTATATATTTAGATATTATATGAAAAAGTATTCGATGCCTTTAGAGAAATAATAAATTGAAGTTGTCTTCTTCAAAATTTTATTCGTCTGCAAACATGGACAAACAGTATTTTGGGGAAGAAAGATATGATCTTTTTACCAATAGCAAAAACATTATAAAATGAATCTTATGTATTTCAAAATAAATAATTCAGAATATTTTGCTCCTTGGAGAAGGGGAATTTTAATATCAGCGTCCTACACCGTGAACAGAGATTTTAAATAAAACAAAAGGCAGAATTTTGTTTAATTTTAAGTATCTGTAAGATACTAATTGATACTGTTTATTGACTTTCATTCTTTCTGCGATTTTTCGGCTAATAATTCTTCTCTGATTTTATTTCCTTTACCTGCTTTAGTTTAATCTCCTGCTGTGCATTTTTTCCCGATTCACTGAACATCCCAAAGGAATTTTTTTGTTTTGAAAGCACCTAATCGTTTTCAACTCGCGGATTTCGTGTCTAGAAAAATACAAAGTTCTGCTTCATAAAGTTAATATTTGTTGCAATCACCGATATGCAAGCAATCCAATGAAACAAAAGCACAGCTATGCCTTGAGTATATAACTCTTTTTTTATTAAATAAATGCACAATTTTCTACGTGGCGTTAATTTACGATGGAAAAATATCATAACAGTTTTTCCCATACCAGTTTAAACAGTTTAAACAGCTCATTTTGAATATGAGATTTTAAGTTCTATATTTTTTAGCTTCAGGAGAACTAATTCTTAAATTAAAAGGTCTAGTGTAATGCAGGTATTTCGCCGACATCTGTACACCAGAATCAAGACCAGAATCAATCCTGTACACCAGATCAAGCAAATTCTTTTTAAATCTCATGATTTTTATAAAATATGATTTTAATTTTTATAACTTTATAGTGACTTTTTAACTTCAAAGGCTTAATATATAGTTCAAATTGAGAAAGATAAAGATTGAAATTTCGTTTAACATTTTGGAAGACTGATTACTCCATAAACTTGTAAATAAAAGATTGATTACTCCATATAGTGTAGCTTTTTATCTATAATAGTCCTCCTAGTTAAATATTTAGAAAAGTAGCATAGCATTATCAATTTTTAGAAATATTTATTTTAGGGAAATTTTTCAATAGTTTCATGATTATGCTTTTAAATTTAGTTTCGGCAATTTTAATGTACAGGGTGTCACAAAAATCTGTAAATATTTTAAAAATTCATAAAATTGAAGTAATTGGTAGAATTGAATGCTTTGCAAAAAAGGTGAAGAAAAAAAATAGTTAAACCTTTCGTCGATAGAGGGCGTTGTGGGAGAGAACATCACACATTTCAAGGAAAACTATAGTTTATTTTGCATGCAGGCAAATGTTTACAAGCATATCACTGTGTCTGCCATCACCATAAACTACAATTTGCAAGCGAGGTACAACACTGTTAACTACAGTATGTAGCATATCCGAATGGATGCAAGAGATTTTGTGACGAAAGACGTCATTTAACTGCACCAAAATAAATGGCATATTTACGGTACACTCTGGACTTGACATAACCCCCAAATCCAAAAATAAAGTGGTGTTAAGTCTGGCTAGCGAGGGGGGCCACTAGTGACGACTAATTTATTCTCTTCGGTGAAAGTTTTTTGGAACGTCTTCACTTCTATTGTGATATGAGAAGTTGCCTCGTCTTGCATGAATGTCACTGTGTCAAAGACATTACTAATAGTGCAGTAAGTGCAGTATCACTTTATCCTGCAGCAGTTGCAAGTAGCGTTTTCCAGTAATTGAGTAGGTTTTCCAGCAAACTTTTGCACAGAGCTCTTCAAAGAAAAAAGAGGCCCACAATAATAGACGCGGTGAAACCACTCCAACAGTTCAACGCTGTGAATGTAGAGGACTCCTCAGTGTAGGCATGTGGGTTCTCATTCGCCCAGATTCTATAGTTACAGGTGTTGAACTGTTTGATGCAATGAAAAATGAACCTGAAGCTTTCTCCCATCCCTTCTGGTGTCCGAAACTTTCGTAAAGCTTCAGTCGGCTATTCATGGCTGAGGTATAAAATAACTTCACTAATAGTGTCGCGAACGACGCACGCTCCGCTCTTGGGGAACGGATTGAGCCTCCAGACCGACGATAATCGAAAAAGAAAGTTTGTTTTTTGAGAACTGGCAACGATAAGTGTATGCTTTTAGAAGTGTGACGCAGTAGACTAATGACGCTGTTAGATATGTTGAACAATGATGCTAAGTAGTTAGAAGTGTTTTTTGATAGTGTAATGATTTAGATATTGTTCCTCTTTGTGTCAAATGTCAAATAAAGTGATTCATACAAAATAGTGCCAATTTTAGATGAGTTTGAAACCAAATCGGAGTCTACAAAAGCGGCGGACCAGAATCGAAGAACGCGGATCATAAAGGTAAGCAACCTTTTTTCATTTGCTTATCTAGAATTTTGAATGATCTGTTTTTTACTGAATTGAAACGATATAAATTTTTTGGCGCCCGAACAGGGACCGCCGATGTAGACTATATTGAAGTGAAAGATTTAGATTTAGGAATGTTTAAAAAAAATATCTCCTTTTGATTTGAGAGTTTATTTTATGATTTGAGAGTACTGATTTTTAATTTGAAATATTTTCTATCTGAAATATTTAAACATGTCTACTAAAATAGAAGAATTAAAGAAAAGACGAACTGTAGTTAGGAGTATGAAAACAAAGTTGATAAATAATTGTAAAGAATACCTCCAAGAAACAGAACACGATTTGTGTATTCTTAATGAAAATATTGATTTATTAGATTCAAAACATAACAGCCTAAAAGAATTAGATAAACAAATACAAGAATTAATTGAGGCTACTGAATATGAATCGGAATTTGAAACTTGTGAAGTTTATTCCGAGAAAATAATTTCCATGAAATCAAAACTAACATTTATGTTAAAAGAGAATATGAAACCTGAAATTCCTTTTTCGAATACAATTGGTAATATTGTGAATAATGATATTTCAAATATTTCTGTATCTCATTCAAAAATTAAATTGCCTAAATTATCGATCAATAAATTTAATGGCGATCCTGTTAATTGGTTATCATTTTGGAACCAGTTTGACAATGCGATACATCAGAATAGTGATTTAACAGATACAGAGACAAATTTAATTATTTGATATTCATTTTTATCAGGTGCTGCTTGTAATGCTGTTAGTGGTTTTGCATTATCAAGTGAAAATTATTTTGCCGCAATCGAGTTACTTAAAACACGCTTTGGTCGAACAGATTTATTATAATTATAAATGCACATATGGGAAAACTGTTAAATTTAGAACCTGTTAGGAATGCTAACAACATATTTGCATTACGTAAGTTGTATGATGATATCGAAATACAGATAAGAAGTTTAAAATCACTTAATGTAACTTCTGGCACATATGGCACGTTATTGACACCAGTTTTATTAAAATTAATTCCGAATGAACTGAATCTTGATTTCCAAAGAAAAAGGAAATCGAAAGATAATTTCGATGTAAACGAATTATTAGAGTTCTTGAAAACGGAAATTGAGTGCCGCGAATCCATGCTACAAATTCAAGATAAAATAAACAACCATAATTCGAGCCACTTTCCTAAAGAAAAAAGAATAAATAAAATTTCTATTCCAACGGCTGCTGTGTTAAAGGTTTCAATTAACAGCTGCATATTTTGCGAGGATTCAGAAAAAGAAAAACATACTTCCGATCAGGGATAAATAGAAGGGCTAGCTCATTTCTTTGTTCGACTCCTCGCCGACGCGAGCCTAATGGGGGGACGTAACAGGCAATAATCTGACGTCACTGTGATGCCACCTGTCCTAATTTCCCGCGTTTAAAACAGCAGTTTCATTGAGCTGCGAGACGATTTTCTAGAGGTTACATATCCCAAATTAATTTTAATAACATATATATCTGTTTTCTAATAATGTATATATTTAAAATAGTTTATATATATGTAATTTTTAGTCAGTTTTTATTTAAATTCTATATTGTAAAGTATCGTTTACGTAATATGGCTTTTTGCTTTTTGCGCTGCAGTAACGTGCCGTAGCACTTACAGAAGTATGAAAGGATGAGATATTTTATTTCATGGGACCAAAGGATCCAAATGAGAGTTTGCTTTTGTGACGAAAGAATACACAAATGTCAAAGAAGATTTCTATTAATGTGAAGAGCGGAAAAATCTGCAGCGAACATTTTCTATATGCAGTGTTTATGAAGATGATATGAAAAATCGCTTGTTTGGATAGCCACAAAAAGAAACTGTTGAAATGGAATG